CCAATGAGCTCAGAAGCTTCGGTTGAATGGCCCTCTTTTCCCCCAACGGAATTGATCGTCGTAATCCCCGAAAAAAGTCATCAGTAGAAATAAATTTCCAAGCTACACTTAGTAAATCTGGTTTGCCAGTTAAGTAACCATTGATCTAATAAAAAAAAAAAAAGCATTTACTGTCTTCGTCGTATGCTTCTGAACAGCCCTTGAAGAAAAACTGGATATGGGGAAAATGGCATCATTTAGGACAGGGAGATACAAACCAACTGAAAGGTTATTTCCCAAAAACGTGAAACCACGTGCAAAAATCACATGAAACACAGTACAATAGATTCTTTCTCCTTTCAGGAATCATTTCAAAATAATGTGTGCATATTAAGGTTAAAAGAAATTAAACTTCAACACTGCCTTTCTAGTTACGATTTTTTTTTTCTTCTCAATGTTATGGTTGTTTTAACAAAACCACTTTTAACAATCTTACAATCACAATAAAATACTGACAGGTAGTTGCAAATTGATATTAAATAGTTAAAGATTCTGTTTCTTTTTGTCTGTTTCTTTTATACAACAAACATAACTCTTAAAAGACAGCATCAGACAGATCACCAGGGTCAACGATACCTCCTCAATTATTTCTGACAAGTCTTTGCTCAGATTCAGGCCACTCTAAGGATGCATCTGAATGACTCTTAAGGTAGGATTCCCAGGCAGAAACTTTAGGCTAAGATAGGAGCTCTCTAAGAGGAATCTCTGTAAATATGGGTCCTGATATTTTATGCTGTATTAGCATTAAAATTCTATGACCGCTACAGACTGTCTTTATTTTGCAGAATAGTCCTGTCATTGGTCATATTGGCTTATTGTGAACCACTGCAAAAATTGTTGTAGGCTGCATTCCCAAAGTAGCAGCTAATCTTGCCTCGCCATTGTTGCAGCATTCTGGAGCACACTGATAATAGACACCTTAACAGGAGAACATATTTCTGTCTTTATTTCATTTTACCGCCGGCATCTTCTTCAGACCTCCTCATAACTCACAGAACACTGCACACAAATACACGCATGATCCTGGTATCCCTCCTCCTGTGCTTGTGTAAATATCCATACAACACTAAGATGGATCAATTTTACATTCCCTTTCAAGAGGCTTGAGCTGTCTTTTATCATTGTGAAGTTATGACTTTGTATTTGATCTTACCTAATCCCTGTCATCCAAATCAGTCTCATTCTATTAACAGTTTAATGTCATCTGTGCCCATCCTGTGGTAGTTTATTAAATGGGCAGAAAGTTTTTGTATAAAGGAAAAGAGCTACTAATTTGACAAAAAAAAAAGAAAACAAAAGCTTGTCATTGTGTTGTGGTGTAAGACTCCTAAAGAGAAAGCTTTCAGTTCCACCATAATGGTTTTATCCATTCATTTCCACTTTATTGGCTTTGCTTGGCAGTAGACAGGGAGCAACGGTACCCCTGAGCAACAGCTTTCCCACAGAGGCATTTGATCATATGCTGAGTGGGTAAAAAAGAGTGTAAATTAAAGTCCTTCTTCCCCCTGACACTTTAAACACGACAGGCCATATTTTCTCAGCCAAATCAGGAGCCTGAGAGATGGCTACCAATTATAATTGCATCCAGAATAAAAAAAAAAGGAATCAGACTTAGGTGTGTGTCAGTAGCCTGGCGCTAAATCACAACAACAGCAGTTGGATGATGAAAACTTGCCTAGAGGGTTTAAGGGACCCAGAGCCATTCTTTGCACAGTGATGGGATGTGCACTTGAATTTGCATCAGTCTGTGACACATCAAAGAGAATACACAAGCAGATGTGACTCTTTGATTTTCCTAGTTGTGAGATGCAGTTATTCTGTGGGTCCACAATAATCTGCAGCTTTCTTACCATAATCCTTCAGTTTTAGCCAAGCAATGAACATCGTGAGGAAGATAAAGTGCGCACAGCATGTTGCATAAGCTCTACATATCTATGTGTGTGTGTGAGATAGAGAGAGAGAGAGTTTATATAAGCTTGGGTAGCAATTGGACTTTAATGCAAGTTAATGTACCAAACTACTTGCTATACATGCACGTACATGCACACACCTTTCTATTTTTATTGCTATCAGGATATTGCACTGAGTGCCAATCATTTGAGTAACACCTTGCCAAGCCAACGTCCAGTTTTATACCTCCCAGTCTGCTCTATAGTATGTGAGGTTAATCTTGTCATTTGCGCCTCCTCACTAGGGTTCTGCAGGATCCCTGATTGATGTCTGGGTGCAGCCTTGACTTTGCAAAAACTTTGACTGCCAATGCCAACAGCAACAGTAATACTATGTGATTTAAAGGGTGGGACCAAACACCCAGCCATATAAGATATAAGAGAGAAAGACCACAGTTAGAGGATAAAAACAAACAATGGTGCAGGTCTATGATAGTAGAGGCTGTTCAATGTTGATCTGTTATCCTTTGTTGGAAAAAAAGGCTGTAATCTCGTTTTTTATTTGGTTTGTTGCTCTTCTTCTTCTACTTTAAATAGAATGGTTACAAATCATCCAATTTTTGCCACTAATAAGATGGCAATGAAAACTGCATTTCTCTGAGTGGAAAGATGTATTCAACAGATCCGAAAATAGTTTATTATTCTTATGATTTCAGCATGTTCTTGTTGACAAGGTTTAAAGTCAACACTTAACCTTACCTCTAACTTTAACCCTTTTTCTGAAAGAAATCTATGTTTCATGACATGAAACATATTTAGATTGTAGGTAACTATAGAAAGTTTATAAAAAGGGAACACTAACAAGAGCCTTAAAAAGGAAAACCTCATAAATAGCTTATAATCAATTTGCACCAGTGCCAGTTGTACCCAAAACTTTATACCTATGCATTTGTATTAAATCAATTATTTTTTTAAGATTCATGACTGTAAATATGCAATTTTTTTTCAAATTAATTCAACTGATTGCATAAGAGTATGCTTTTATTCCTAGTAAGAGGTGTTTTTATAATTGAGCTAGCAAAAATAGTTCAAATAATGATTAATGATAAATAATTTCCGCCGAAGGTTTTACAACACCACGTTTCAATTTATTCTGATTCTTCTTTAGACAAGCTGATAGTTTTACAAATTCAATTCAGTTAAATTTAAAAATACCTTATTAATCCCTGAGAGGAATGACAAATCAGAACCTCTGGTCAAAAAAAAAAAAAGATATGCATAAGTTCCTTTATCGTATGTGAGAAGCACAACTACATGTCCTCACTATATAACTTTTAATTGTAGGTTTTCTGGTCTTGATCAAATTGCCCCTTTATCAATTCTACAATAGCAAGGTTTGAAATCTGTAAACATACTACTGTGAATTAAAACTGACATATTTTTATGTTGTAGTGAAGTAAATAGAGGAGTTCTGCAGATAAGTAACAAAAAATGCTTAACTGTAAAAGTGCAAAGTAAAAAGAACATCATATCGTCTTTCATTTTGGTTTCAATCCAATTTTACCTCATTGGTTCCTATAAAATATGTTTAAATATGATCTGACTACAAGAGCTGTAGATTGCCTTTTGTTTTTATAATTTACTGTATTAAAACAACCACACTTCCTTGCAATATTATAAGCCAACTGCAATGACTTTTAAAGTGATGATTTTTATTCATGGTGGCTATGGTCAAACTGCGTCACTTTGTACCAGGAAAGAAAAGTCAACAACCAAAAGCAGCAAAGGTATGAAAGGCGCAGCATTGAATGACCAAGTAGGCAACAACCACGTGAGAATCTCTATCTTTATTAGGATATTAGTCCTATGTTAATTTCAGCAACTGTATCTTTGCTGATCTAACATGATTTACGCTTCAGCCCTAACCCTTAAATCAAAACGTATGTTCCACCACATTAGCTCTAGGCTCTGATCCCAGAAATGCCCATCAGTCTTGAGATGGTAGGCGATTGTGTTGGAAAATGTCCTAAAGATCCTGCATTAACAAATGTGCGCAAACACGCATGCACACAATTACACACACGTAGTTATCTGACAGTAGGTACTGCTTGTCAAGCAGCACTCACCATGCCCATGTTATTATCTCTGCACTGCATTAAACATAAGCTTTTTGCACACAAGGGTATAGGCTTCTGTACAGGCAGGTGCAGGAAGACAAGACAGCCAGGTGCTTCATCCTTCCTCTTCGCTCTCTCCTCCCGCCGTGCGCAACTATATCAGGCGCGCACTAACGCGCGCACGCACACAGAAATACCCTTAGCTTGCCAACAACATGCCCCCCTGCCAGGGAATTAAATTCTTATCCATTTCTGGCGGGAACGGGACGCGTCCGCGCTCTCATTAAAGGATCTCCGCGTTCAGTCCAAAAGCCGCGCGGCCCAGTTTCCCCGTCACTTTGGCGGCACCCCGAGAGGGACGATGCCACAAAAACACTAATTATAAGCCAAGAAGCTGGAGAGGGATGTGGTGTTACTGAGCCGCCAAGCGGTCCATCTGCAGCCTCCATCAAAGGAAGAAAAAAAAAAAAAAAGGGCTGAAACGGAAGCCTGGGTTAAGTTGCGAAATTGGCCACTTTAATCTGCAGCCTCCATCAATGGAAAAAAAGAAGCTGAAACGGAAGCCTCAGTTAAGTTGTGAAATATGTCACAATAAACAGAACAGCATACCGTCTAGCTTATTTGTTTAGTAAAAAAAAACAAACAAACAAAAAAAAAAAACAAGAGGATCATCTGAATTTTAATTAAATTAGTCAAGGTCGTCTGGATCCGCGACTAATATTGACGCATCAGTCATTAAAATAAATATACATCTGGTTGCAATGCTTATTAGAGGTTCTTTTTTCATGGATTGTTTAGGATAAGACATAATAGAAAAAAAGAACAGCTGGTTAATTTATCTACAGTTTTTTTTTTCTCTCTTATTATTTTAACCAGTACGCACAAAAACAACAAACAAACAAACAAAAAACAATCGAGATCCCCTGATTAATGAGAAAACTTATTCAACACTCACCATCAAAAACGACGGTCCTCATGGTTTAGATGGGGGTGAAATCCAAGAACGCTATAAATCCAAGTGGAGCGACTCCCCGTCGTGCGCAGAGATAGAGAAGATATCCGCTATTTAGTGCAATTTGTGGCGTGATTTCAAATCCCAGCAAATAAGGGAAGGATGGGGGGAAACAATCAGCTTTGCACCCTTCAAACTTTAGCCGTAGGTCTTCCCAGGTGGGGAGCCACGTCTCCGCTCGTACCCTGGCTCAGTCATGTGGATGAGAATTTCAGGAAAAAGTCAGCAGTAAACATCCAAATTTAGATCAGCAGACTCGACACCTCCCTGAAAATGTGGGACGATCAGACAGCTCTGGAACAACAACAATAAAAGAAAAAACGAACTCAAAGTGTTAGTTTTGGAGAATCAACAAATAAAGCAGCTCAGGATCCATATTTTCAAATCGAAGAATATATCCTCCTCGAATAATTGTTTGTATTTGCGCTGTATGTTTTCCAAATGCAGAGAGAGGAAAGTGTGCGGCGTGAGAATAGACGACGGCCGCACTGGTGCGCATCAGTGTGCGCTCACCGGGGCGGGGAGGAGAGGAGGGCGGGGCGGCGAGGTGCGTCTGGCGAAGAAAAAAGAGAGACAAGAGATGGGGAGAGCAAATTCAAAGAATAAATCTTTTATGGCTTCGTGTTGCCGTACAAACATATCCCTCCTTTTATTCCAAAAGGAAAGTTTCATTATTAAAAATGGCAAAAAAGGCACACGGTTATTTCCTTCCAGCGATCCATGACACATTAATGGTAGAACTGCAATATTTTGCAGGTACCTGCAGACCTATATATATATCTGTACATACATATATATCTGTACATACATATATATCTGTACATACATATATATGTACTTAACAAAACCCCTGCACCTCTGCCTTTTTGAAGTTTCCGTATAACACCAGCGTAAAAGATCTTCATCCTGTCTCATTAGAAATGTTTAACCTACTCATTAGAAAGAGAGAAAAAAAAAAAACTTGGTCAAACCCATGAGAATTGAGGGTCTCAATCCTGTAGCGTTATCTTTAGGTATTACACGCCCCCTACCGGTGAATATAATAAATATATATTTATTTTTTCTTCCTCAGTAAGAGATTATGCCCATAGTATCTGAAAGGTTGTAATGGATCAACGCGTTTTTGCTTGTTTGTCAGAGTGGGAATAATGTTTGTGTCTTCCTATTTTAAGGATATTGTTTAGTTATGAGTCATTTTCACAAAAATGTTGATGAGCAATAAGCACAGCTGACAAAATGTGTATTTTCACTAAGAAATATCTTGCTTTAAAAGACATGACAATACAAAACGCACAATATTTAAATAGATCAGCTATGAATATAAAATATTCTGACAGACAATATTTTGACAGTTTATGAAGCATTCCAGATTAATGCTTCCCAAAGGAGACTCAGCCTTGATTAAAAAAACAAAAAGAAATATCTCTACTGATGCTAGAAAAAATTCTCCATGCATTTGTTACCTAAAGGCAGGATTTTTTTTTTTTTTTTTTTTATCAGGAAGTCCAGAAAATTCAATTAAAATAAATTAATTTTCAGTCAACTTATCCAAAATCTTAAAGTAAGAGTTCTGATGGGAATAAAAAAGAGAGATTATATTTATCCTCTGGCTTCCCTTTAGCAGCTCCCCGTTAAGTCCAGAATTTCAATTCTCCTTTTCACACGTGAAACTATGAATCATTATCAAACTCTATCAAATATAGATCTGATTATTCCATGTATTCCATGTCAGATCCCTGACTTATCAAGCTCTATCTTTAGAATTGAATTCCAAGTTAGGTCGGTGAGCCATCAAACCCATCTACTTTTAAGACTAGGCTTAAACCTTTGATGTTTGATAAGGTTATAGCGGCTCAGGTTATCCTGAGCCATCTTTATCATTATGCTGCTATAGGCTTCTGAAGGATACAGAAAACTCTGAAGAGTAAGAAACATTTGGCAGTGTTTTTTTTTTCTTTTTACTTTTTTTATGTAATCATATCTCTCTTTTAGATATGAGTTTTGGTTGAGTTTATAATGCTGTTTCTTTCTGAGGCAAAGCAACCTATGAAGCCAGTCTACCATTACTCTCTATAACACATAAATTGTTCAAGGATCAGTGCTTCTACATTGTTTTTCTCTTTGTATGTTCGGTCTTGTGGCCCCTCACACTGAGCCTGCTTCTCCTTGTTTCCCTCTGACAAAACAGAGTCTTCTATGAAAATTAATTTTGAAAAGCCGATGACTTGATGCAATCTGCTTGGTTTCCTTAGACAGAACTCTCTAAATCGATGCCTTTTTATTGGATTAAATCAAATATGTAAAGGGACTTGAGAGGTGTCATGAATTGGAATGATAAACTAAATTAAAAGAAATGAAATAGAACTTCGGTCAGGAATTTGATATTTTTGTTAAAACGTTTCTATCGCTGTCATTATTCAGCACAACTTAAAGCCAGTTATCACAGATCTTTTACTTGATTAAACAATAATTGAAAAAAATAAATGTAATAAAGGACAAAGAGAAACTCTGATCCCTGTGTCTGTATGTGACACCAAAGTATATGCAAACTCCATTTAGATCTTGGGCAGCTAATCAGTCTTTGAGGTGAATATGTAGGCCAAACTAATGAAAAAGGGAAGACCTACTTCCACCAGCGTGACGCTGCCACTACCATGTGTCACCTGGGTCATGGGTCGTTCAATATAATGTAGAGAGACTTTTAAAGTGGTTAACTTAATCATCATGACTACTTCTCTGATTTATACTCTCATTCCCGGCTAGTTATTTTAAATATATAACTATGCCTTGCTTGGTTTTCAGGGGTTCCATTCTCTTTCCATTTTTAGAAAAATGGTTCAATAGTACTCTATGGAATGTTCAAGGTCACACTATGTAAAGGGGTCAAGGTTTTAATACTATATTACAAATTACCTGACTTGGCTGAACAAAGCGGTCACTGCCAAAGTCATTCAGGGATATTAGATAAGATTAGCCAGTTTTAAATACATGCCAAAATATTTCAGAATTGTATTTAGATATGCCACTTTTTTTTTTTTTTACTTAAATATTTAAGATAATTTAAAAGAAATTTTGTAGTTTGTGGTTATGAAATAAAAGGTTACCAAAGGTTATGAAATCGGTTTAAGGCTCTGTATGCGTGGTAGAATATTGGAAGTTCTGACTAATTGCAGTACATTTTGTAGATTTAAACAGATAACAACCAGAAGATTACTGCAACGAGCAGGTATGGACACCATTCAAACAACAGCCAGGTGGTTTGATTAGTCAAGTGAAATAGGAGTATTCAGTAGGCTAATCCTAAGCTTACAACTACCACCAATGTTGAATTACACTATCAGAATATGTCAGCGAGGTATTTGTTCACAGTGGAGACAAGCAGGGCCAGATGGCCTGTAGAGACACGGGCCAAAGCCGCCGCGGCAACCCGCTGAGAATGAGGTCGCCCCACACAAAAGGAGATGCTGTCACCTTTCGTGGTTGTCTCTGTCTCTCCGGATTTGTCCAAATGAACTCGACTTTGAAAACACATGCATGTGCCTAATCCTGCCACACTCCTGTATATCCATGCTTGTGAAGTGTGTCAGAGAGTGTTTAGTAATTTTAAAGACATAGGATAAGATTAAGTTGAGTAAATAAGGTGATGTGGAAGGAAAAAGACAGCATACACATGGGCCTTTTCCTACTCAACATTTTACTTTTATTGTATAGCCCTTTTATTTTAATGTATTACCCTTTAACCATTTTTATCTTGCACAGGCTACCTGCCAACATGGTACAAGAGTAACCCAGTTCTGGAGGCACGTTGGATGATAAGCAACTCTGCTAACAGAAACTGCACTCGACAGAATAAGAACACGCCTTGCATCTATAAGAAGGTTCCTAATTAAGTCAAGGCAACATAACTGATATTAATACAACAAGACGTTCGCAAACAATAAACCCTACTAAATATATTTTTTAAAAGAATAACAGTTTTGTGGCTGGATACAATGCTTCCATGGGTCAGAAACACGAGGGGATGCTTCTCAGCTGATTACTTCCTCCTAGAACATTAAATAACACGCTTGTGAGTACTCCTCTCATTCTGCTGTAATATATCACAAAGACATAAGGGAGCAAGTGAAAAGGACACAGGTAAATTGCCAAAGGGAGCGTTGAGGCTGGAGCCTTGCACAATGAGTAACTATAAATTAACTAACGGCAGATCATTGCCACATGAACTAAAAAATGAGATTGAGGATCTTTAATTCATGACAGTAATGAAATGAGTCAAGATGTTGAGTCTCAAAGGCAGCGGATCCCTATAGGCAGAGGCTCCACCATTCTTTTCATCATAAGTCTCACAGATCAAAAGGAGAACAGGGGCATAAATGACTTCCTTTGGTAATGGGGGAGTTAGCCATATCCTGCTGCTACAGGAACTGTATTGGGTCTTGTATTAATCTCAATCTATTAATAAAAACTGAGGATTTTACTCCGTTTATACTACAAAATGAGCAACATATAATTAGATTTATGCTTATGTCAAAGATCTCCACAGTCACTTATCCTTTATTACATCCATATTTCCTCTTCAAAGATCTTTCCAGTGTTCTTTAGATTATTGTCCTGTTATAAGACCTAAGATTGTTTACATTTAAGTTCATAAAATTTTTATGTTTTAAGATCCTAACACAAAGAGTAGAATTCTACTAATGAGCGTGCAAGAGCAGCAAAGCAGTTGTAGAACATCATTCTTCCATCACCATGTTTGTAACATTTCAACATATTCTCATTATCAGTTCGTATGAAATCGTACGAAAAGTTATGCAAATCATTTCGTACGTTTTGGACGTTTTTCCTCAAAAAACCAGATCAGTGCGCATGCACTGGCAGACAGAAAAAAAAAGCAGATCCGCGGACGGACGTAAAACTGGGAAAAACAGTGCAATAATCACTTATTCATGTCTCTAACTACATTGCTTGCTGTTTTATATCTTAGGGGTTAGGGTTAGGGTCAGGGTTAGGGCTAATTGTAATTTATATTCTATGTTCTTGAATTGTGCGTAAGCTGTGCATGCGCATACGACGAAAAAAACGTCCAAAACATACGAAATTACGGTGCATAACTTTTCGTACGATTTCATACGAACTCATAATGAGAATAGGTTAAACATTTAGTACTGATGTAACTTAATACATGTTAACTGATCATTTTTTATTTTACAGCAAAGAGAATATGGGGCATTTTCCTTTATTTCTCAAAATGAGATAAAAATCATCATGTACATTTATTGTGGAAATGTTTGTCTGTTTATTTCTTTGTATGGCTGATAAGGTAAAAAAATGTTACATAAAATAATGACACAAGATCAAAAAAAGGAATAATTCTCTAGGTAGGATATACAGTATCTCTTTCACAGCTTGGCATTGATTTAAAGCCAAAGTTCTTACAATAAAATTGTATCTCTGTAAATGAAAGGAAAAAAGAATCA